CAGATTTCCCTGCAAGTCAGGACTGATGGTGACTTGACTCCGATCCTTCAACTCCCCTTTCCAGACCTTGACCTCCCCAGCTCTTCCCAGAAGTACGTAAGGTCCATTTCCTATATGTGGGACGCGGCCAGGGTGTTTGGACAGGTTCAAGCCTTGGACTACTGAGAGGACACAGTCCTCTCATGGCCACGTGCAAGTCCCAGCTTGGATGGCAGAGCCCTCCCAGCACAATGATAGCCAACAGCTGTAGTTGTGAGCTTGAGCCTGTGGTCCGAACACGTGGCCCCACGTGCCTTGTGGCAGAGTTCAGGTGCATGTAGTGGCGTGGGATTGAAACCAATGAGAATGTTGTAAACAACTTGATCACGCCCTTACTTTGCCTGGTGGCATCTGCTCTAAAATAAAGACACGGCTTGTGGGCGTGGTCGCTGTCTCTCTCCATCAGAGAGGGCAGCGTCCCACCGAGACCCAGCTTTCGTTCTCTTGCCTGTCTTTTCTAAGCCTTTCATCACCCCCACTCGGGTTCACCCGGGGCCGTGCCGGCGCGGCACAACTATAGCGAATTCCTCATCCCATAACTTACAGTGGTTCTGCTTCCCTGCTGGGCCGTCTGGCACACACATGTTGAAATCATCAAGGCACTGCAGCAGTGGCAGGCCCCACACCAGCACAGCGATAAAATGGGCAGCGGATGACAGCCCTGGCAACGTGACCACGCTGCTGATTCTGAATTCGTGACCCTGAAGCTGGTTCCTTTACCTCTCGGCTTGTCCTTCCCCTGCCCCCTTCCTAGCTTCTTTGGATCATCCCTCCTCTATGCCCCCGTCTCTCTCCCTCCAGGTTGAAAACCCATTTGGGGGCTTGTCTTGCGAATCTTTGCATTCCTCTTTGCCTGGAGGGAGCAATCAGAAGCCGTGAGAGATTCGCTGTGGCTGGGAGAGCTCGCAGAGGGAACAAGAATAGGTAACGTTTTCCTGGGGGTCATGTGCCAAGTCCTCTGTGAAGGACTTACACACTAACGTACTCATCCTCACCTCACTTCTCCAAAGCAAGTCCTGTTAGATCCTCATGTTATAGATGGGGAAACTGGGAATCGGAGTAACTAGAAAACTAAACCATCACCACAGTCCCCTACTCAATATCCAGACAAAAACTAGGGATGGGGGCAGGGGGGCGGGTGATTTGTCTTCAAATTTAATAGTTTAAAAAGAGCCTTTCCTTATGAATAATCATTTTAAAATTTTGGTGTTTTAAAATTAAACTTGAATATGCAAGGGAGGCCTGGTATATGGGAAGAATTTCTGTGCATGTAGGTTGTGGGGGTGGTTTTTGTGTCAAAAATGGAAGCTAAGCCCTGGCCAGTGTGCTCAGTGGTTAGAGCATCAGCCTGCACACCAAAGGGTCAGGGGTTTGATTCCTGGTCAAGGGCATGTACCTCCATTGCAGGTTCAATCCCAGGGCCTGGTCAGCGCCCATGCAGGAGGCAACCAATCTGTGTGTCTTTCTCACATCAATGTCTCTCTCTCTCTCTCCTTCCCCCTCCAACCCTCCTTTCCACTCTCTCTAAAAAGCAATGGAAAAAATATCCTTCAGCTTGGCTGGCATGGCTCAGTGGTTGAGCGTCGACCTATGAACCAGGAGGTCATGATTCGACTCCTGGTCAGAGCACATGCCTGGATTGCAAGTTCAATCCCTGGTGGCGGTTGTGCAGGAGGCAGCCGATTAATGATTCTCTCCCATCATTGATGTTCCTCTCTCTCTCCCTCTCCCTTCCTCTCTGAAATAAAGGGAAAAAAAGTTATGTATTTTTTAAAAGCCTCTCACTCAAGGGTGTGTGTGTGTGTGTGTGTGTGTGTGTGTGTGTATGAGTTTATCAGTGGTTTAGTAAAAGCGGGGTCTTGCACTTCAGCTCATGACATCGAACATGATAGGACCCAATCATTACTCCAGGAACCTTTGAGTGTGGCCTTATCTGGAAATAGTGTCTTTCAGATGTAATTAGGGATCGTGGGATAAGATCATCCTGGATTTAGAGTAGGCCCTACATTCAAGCATGTCTTTAGAAGGGAATGGAGGAAAGACACAGCGAAGAAGGCCATGTGGTGATGGAAGCAGAGAATGAATGCAGTGATGTCGCCACAAACCCAGGAAGGCTGGAGCGGGAGGGTTCTCCCTGGAGCCTTTGGAGGAAGTCGGCCTCCTGCCACCTCAGGCCTGTACTTCTGGCCTCTAGACTTATGGAGAGAATACATCCCTTTCCTTCTAACCCAAGTGTGTGATCATTTGTTACAGCAGCCCTAGGACCAATATATATGCTTTTACCCCCACTTTACAGATAAGGAAATGAAAGTGAACTAACTTGCTTGGGTTCTGTTTTATGCAAAGAGCCGATTTACGCTGGATGAACGCAAAGCTGCTGAGTGTCTGTAAGCGAAATGACCAGGGACCAAAACAGGAAAATGAGGACAAACGTGTAGCCCGTGTCTCTCCTGGAGAAAACGAAAACAAGTCCAGATCCTTTCACTTAGTGTGCGACTTCGCACACACACCAGAGCTCTTTTTCTTGGGTCAGGAAACCCGTCTTGGAAGGAAAAAGCTAGCAACATAGAACTCAGGGGAACGTGAAAAGCAGCTCCATGCAACTCTGTGGAAGAGACCGGCCCAGCCAGAACCAGCCCCGGAGACTCATGACTTACACGCTGGGGAGACTTTGAACAGATTAAATTAATAGAGCAATTAGGGGCAGGAAGCAGGTTTAGCCTCTTACAATCTAGGAGTCAAAGGGTAAGTTTTCAGAACAGTTTGGTTTGTAGGAGCAAATCGCGTGTTGCATTTTAATCTTTCCTTGTTTGGTTTCTTTTTAAAGTGCTGAAGTGGCAAGTCTAGAGAGCAGTAAATAATCACAGATTTCTCCTGAGATGCCAACGCGGGGCATCATTAATTTTCAAGTCCACCCATTTCCCCAAAACACAAGGAGCCGTGCCTGGACTTGAGGGTTTGATCCACGTACCCGGGGGGAAGATTCCTAACCCACACCATTACAGACCAGGAGGCTTTTCTTGCCTTTCTTTTGAAAAAAGTTTGCATTTTTCCGTAGTTGCAAAATAATAATAAATGCTCAATGTACAAAACTTGAAAAGGCACAAGGAAAATGAAAGGAACAAAATAAATACCATCATCTCACTTCCAACATATTGAAATTTCTTTTCCAGTATTTTAGATATAGCTATAGATGGAAATGCGTAATTCAACATCAAGCTGCCTGTAACGGCTCCTGCATGTTCATGGGAGGGCTGAGGTGAGGCAAAATTCATATTTGCAGAGAAAAAATAAAATAGCTAACATTCAGTAGTATTTACTTTTTGCCAAACATTATTCCACGCACTCCATACATTATTAGCTCTAAGAACTTTGCCTATCGCCACATTCAAAGATACTGTTCTGCATTTCGCTCATTTAATTCTCAGCAACCCTATGAAATGTCAGTGCATCTTTGTTTCATATCTAAGGAAACGGAGGCAGTGAAGAACCGTGCCGCAGACCACAAGCCTGTAAGTGGGAGAGAGCTGGGATTTGCTACTTTACTTGGGAAGCAAGTGATGGGCTGTGCCTGCAAGCGCAGGACTTTCTCTTAGAGACTGGTGAGGCGGGAGAGGCGGGAGGGACTCACGATTCCGTTTCTCCGAGTTGGTCTCTGCTGTCCCGGGCTGAATTCTGTCAGAGTCATCAGGGAGTCATGGTTTGTAATCTTGGGGTGGGGAGGGGGAGATTGAAGAGGGAAGAACCTAGAGAGCGGACCTGCCCTGGCTCCAGCTCTATGGCCAAGTCCGTGGCTAAGGCCACGCCCACGATGGCCACGCCCACGATGGCCACGCCCACCCACGGCCAGGGCCAAGCCTGCCCCCGCTGTGGTCAGAGCCTAGGATCGTGGGAGATGCTCACTGCAAGAAAGGTGGTGCTCCGAACACTAAGGAAAAGTCTGCCACACACACATTTGCCTTGTGCAGCTGGTTTTGGAGAAATTCAGGGAAGTGGCTAAATCCCACGTCTGAGCTGGGGCAGTGAAGTAGAAAACGGAGCCTCCGTGGGCTGAGAATGAGACTGGAGGCAGCAGTGAGCTCCTGGGAATCTGGATACGTCTGGGGCAGGATATTGTACTTTCCACAAACTTGGAATAGGGGATACAACCAGTTTCATTTTAAGCCTAAAGGGCTGAACAACCTGGAAAAGAGATACACATGCATATACACAACATTCTCTCTATAACATGCATGTTTTATATATTATGTAAAACATGTTTGATATAAACATACAAGTAGGTATGTAAATCATTCTCTAGAAAAGTGGCATTATATATAAATCTATGTAGATACAGTGTATATTATATAAACGTATGATTGTATTACATAGCATATATGATATATATTATGACATATATACTCAACAAAATACACACATTTTATATATATAAAATATATAAGTACATATTGATGTAGTTCTATTAAAATATAACATTACATATGGTTTTAATCTTTCCTATTAAATTTTGTTTTGCAAAAATGGGACATTATTATACATATAATTTTATGGGGTTTTTACTTAGGAATACACTGACTATTTTACCATTTCAGTAATATTCTTTTACAATATTATTATTAATATAATTTTATATTCTATATGAAGACATCATAATTTGCTTAACCAGTCTTTTATTTTGGTTATTTAGGCTGTTTTGAGTTTTTGTCATAAATAATGTTGCCAATTAACTTTCTTACAAATAGATCTCTGATTTGACACACAGGGCCTGACTGGAAACAGGTGGCACACTAAAACTGGGTAATTTTTAATTTATTTTATTTTTGTTAGTATATTTTTATTGATTTCAGAGAGGAAGGGAGAAGGAGAGAGAGAGAGAGAGAAACATCAATGATGAAAGAGAATCATTGATCAGCTGCCTCCTGCACGCCCCCCACTGGGGACCGAGCCCACAACCTGGGCATGTGCCCTTGACTGGAATTGAACCTGGGATCCTTCAGTTGGCAGGCCAACGCAGTATCCACTGAGCCAAACCAGCCAGGGCTAAAATTGGGCAATTAAGGGGCATCTTATAAAAGGACAATGTACAAAGGCATTAAACCAGCGAGGGACAGTACAGTGCTAGGGATACTACCACCCCTAGACTGGAGGGGAGAGGGAGGAGCCATCACCAGGACCTGGAGATGGTGTATGGGGAGGGTCACCTGACTGGAGAGTCAGCAGAGGAACCCGGGGAAACGGTGTCCGCCCATGACTCTCATCAGCAGGGCCCAGCCAGAAACCAGAGGCCAGTCCACACACGTCAGCCCCCAGGGGCACAGAAGGATGGCGAAGAGTAGACAGTGGATCTGGAGAAGCAAACTGAGGTTTTTGTACCATAAAGAAGTGTGTTAACATTTCCACATCAATAACAGTGTGAAAAAGCACCCATTTCTCTATCATACCCACACAGAGACTGGGCAGTACCCCTTGTAGGAGGTTGAATAATGACTCTCAACAATATCAGGTCTGTAATCCCTGGAACCTCTAAGTATTGTTTACCTTATATTGAAGAAAGGTCTTTGCAGATGTGACTAAATTAAGGATCTTGCAAAGTGGATCCTGTGTGCAATCACAGCTGTCCTTCTAAGAGAGAGGTAAGAAGACAAAGTAATGTCACACAAAGCAGATTGGAGTCATATGGCCACATCCCAAGGAATGCCAACAGCCACCAGAAGTCTGCGTTTGACCCCAATTTCAACATTTATTTATAAGCTTAGGGACCTCGGACAATTTCCTTCATCTCTCTAAGCGTTGGGTTCCCATTTGTAAAGTAATGATAATATCTCCTACCTAGTTGTGTTCACAGGGTTAGATGAACTAATAAAGCCAATATACTGGACTCCTCCCCTTCATTGATCTAGCAAAGGGTCAGCAAATTTTTCTCAAAAGGGCCACCTTGTAAAGATTTTAGGCTCTGCAAGCCATGCAGTCTCTGTTGCAACTACTCAGCTTTGTTGTTGCAGCCCCAAAGCAGTCATAGGCAGTACGTTAATGAAAGAGCATGGCTGTGTCAGTAAAACTTTATTAAAACAGTCAGTGTGCAGGATTCGCCTCACAGGCTGTAGTTTGCCAGTCCTCGATCTAGATGAGAGAGGAGTCAGCAAATTAGAGCCCGTGGGCCAAATCTGGCCTGCTTCCTGTTTTTGAAGCTTGTGAACTAAAGATGATTTTTACATTTGGGGGAAAAAAATGGTTGGAAAACACAAAAGAAGAAGATTTATGACATGTGAAACTTATATGAAATTCAAGTTTCAGTGTCCATAAATAAAGTTTTATTGGCACACACTCATCTGTTTATGTCTGAGCGATGGCTGCTCCCATGCATGCTACAATGGCACAGATGAGTAGTTGTAACAGATGGTAGGTGGCACCCTCTTTGATCTACAGTGCTGCCCAGTGGCTGTTGTATATAAAGAAATGGGTTGGTCTTTGTTCCTAGATCCTGGGAGGTATCTTCTAAGTTCAGAGTTTCCCAAGTGACAGGAGTATCTCTGTTATGCTTGGTGGTTACTGATGGTTTATGCTAATAAGGTGACTTACCGTGAACTTATGCCGGACAGTTTATGCTGATGAGATGAGGCAGAATGGGGACAGGCCACACCAGGAAGATTAATCACGTGATTAGAACCATTTGGGGTGGATATCAGCATGATCTCTGGGGCAGGAAGAGGAGGGAGGAGAGCTGGAGATTGACTTCATCCTCTTGCTCATTGAGTCAATGAATCATGTCTGCATAATGAAACTCCAATAAAAACTCTAAACACAGACCGTGGGTGAGCTTCCCTGGTTGTTGAAACGCATCAGTGTGCTGCGAGAGTGGCACAGCTGAGGACGGGGAAAGCTTCATGTTTGCCACCCTCCCGATTTCTCTCTTGCTTCTCTTCATTGGGCTAATCCTGATTTGTATTTTTTATTATAAGACTGTAACCGTAAGTGTAGCACTTTCCTGAGTTTTGTGAGTCATTCTAGTGAATGATTGAACCTCGGGGAGTAATGGGAACCCCAAAATTTGTAGCCAATCGGTTAAAGGTAGATATCTTGGGAACCCCAGAGATTGAGACTGGTGTCTGATGTGAAAGACGTTTTGTGGAGAATTGTGCCCTTAACCTGTGAAATCCGACCTAACTCCAGGTAGCATCAGAATTGCATTGCAACAGTGCACCACAAGTTGCAGGTGCCGTGGTCGTTACAACTGGACAGTATTTTGAGAGTCAACACTATCACTACGTGGTGGCATTCATAGGGTTTTTTTTCACTTTATATGTTGATAATATGTGCATACCTGTCATGTCAAAACAAAAAGGGAAAAATGGACTCGGAATGTCACATTTTTAGACACAGTGAAGTGTGGATTATTTTGATATTGAACCTGATGGCAAAGCATGTAGTGATTCTATAGCTACACTAAAAGAATACAGTATACATCGAAATCACTAGACTAGGCACACATCACTATTTTCCCAAAGTCACAGAAAAGCAACAATCAGAAAAATCACAGAATTTAAAATGGCATATCTCACGACAACAGAATTTCTTCACAAAAATAAAAAACAAAAAGGAGGCTGCAACCAAAGTGGCTCATTTTTGAGTGGCCCATCATTAGCCAAGCAGGAATTGCCATTTATTAATGGCGAGTTAATGAGATGATATTTGATTATAGCAGCCAAGGAAATATGTCCAGAGAAAATGAACATGTTTAAGTCTATTAGATTTTCTTAAATTACTTGAAGATTTGAGGACTTTGGGAGCAACATTAGTAGTCAATTAAAAAAACAAACAAATGATTTTGAGTGGTTTTCTTTGGCCCATAATGAGTTGATAGATGTTACAGATAATACTCAATTGTTAATCTGAGAAGTCCATGCCAAGTCTGAAGTGGCTAAAGAATTAGCCTCGATGAATAGTCTGTACAGAACAACTAAAAGTGAGAATATTTTCCAAAAAGTTGAGAAAATGAGTTCAGTACAACCTGAAGTGGAATCTGCTAAGATGTGTTACAAATGATGATGGGGGAAAAATAATATGTGTGGAGCAGAAAAATAGTTAGTTGGGGAAATTTACAAAGCTTGTGAAGATTCAGGGTATTGAAAACCTATGGTTATTCGTCATACTGCTCATCAGCTGTTACGTGGAGGAAATCCTTGCATCTATCATGTGTTACTGAACCAGTAGAGTCAGTTGTTGTTGTGAACTTAACTCTTGCCAGTTCCATGAATTTTTGTCAAAAATGGAAGCTAAGTCCTGGTTGGTGTGGCTTAGTGGTTGGAGCATGAGCCCGCACACCGAAGGGTCAGGGGTTTGATTCCTGGTCAAAAACCAGCATAACTTTTGACGCCCCCAAAACGTAACCACTAATAGCCTACTGTTGACCAGAAGCCTTACTGATAACATAAAGCATCGATTAACACATATCTAGTATGTTATATTTTTTATATACTGTACTCCTACAATAAAATAAGCTAGGGGGAAAATGTTATTTAAAAATCATAAGGAAGAGAAAATACATTTCTAGTATTTACTGAAAAAAACCTGCATAGAAGTGGACCCATGCAATTCAAACTCATGTTTTTTTTTTTTTTTTTTTTTTTTTTTTTTTTTTTTTATTGCTTAAAGTATTACAAAGGGTATTACATATGTGTCCATTTTATCCCCCCGCCCTAGACAGTCCCCTAGCCTCCCCTATCCCCCAATGTCTTATGTCCACTGGTTATGCTTCTATGCATGCATACAAGTCCTTTAGTTGATCTCTTACCCCCCTACCTCCTGCCCCGCAACCCTCCCCGGCCTTCCTGCTGCAGTTTGACAATCTGTCAAACTCATGTTTTGAAGGGTCCTCTGTAGTTTGAAAAACAATGGTTCGCGTGTAAAGGAGTGTGTGCTCGTTTGTCTCAAAGCCGAATGGCCTCCTCCTTTTGGTTTGGCTGCTCAGTTCACCCCAGAGGAACCCTCTGCTGGGTTTCCACACCCCTCCTTCGACCTGATTCCAAAACCTTCAGTTCTATTCTACGCATAACCAAGGCTCCTCTGTAAGATGGATGGTGTAATCGTTTCCTAGGTCTGCCCTAACGAATTAGCATAAACTAGATGGCTCATAACAGTGGAAATTTATTTGCTCACAGTTCTAGAAGCCAGAAGTCTGAAACCAAGCTTTCAGCAGGGCCATGCTCCCTCTGAAACCTGCTGGGGAATCTGTCCTTGCCTCCTCCTAGCTTCTGGTGGTGCGCCAGCAAGCTCCGTCATTCCTCGGCTTGTAGAGGCAGCACTCCACTCCTGTCCTGACGTGGCATTCCCGTGTGTCTTCCCGTCGTCTTGTGTGTTCTAATTTCCCCTTTTTATAAGAATACCAGCAAGATTGGATTAGAGCCCGCCCTAGTGACCTCATTTTAACTTGATTCCCTCTATAAAAGCCCTATTTCTGTATAAGATCATATTCTGAAGTACTGGGGTTGGGACTTTTCAGGGGGACAAATTCAACCCATAACAGATGGCAATGAAGAATGTCCAATCTGCTAGGGCTTAAAAGACTGCTAAGCACCCCAGGCCTCAGGGCTATGGAAGGGTGTGAGTCCCTGCACCGGGTTGGAGAAGGGAACCAGCATGTGTTGCGTGCCGTTATGTGCATGGTTCTGTATTAAGCACATTGCAGACACCACCTGTTAAATCCACACCATCCCCTTGGGATGCAGATGCTATTGTGTCCATTTTACAGATGAGAAAACTGAGGCTAGGTCAGGTCATTAGGCTAGGATTTGATCAATTTGGGATTCTAGTTGTGGTCTGCTCAGGAAAGTGGGTTTGCTGTTCATGCTGGTAACTATGTCACTTCCATTCCCACAATATCCGTGGACTCTTGGTGAGTTTTAGAATCTAGTCAGTGATGAGGGTGATAGCTAATCCCCTCTCCTAGTTTCAGACATGACCCACTGGGTTGCATCCTTTATCCAGACTTAACCATGAGCATCATATGAAAGCAGAAGTGAAATATTTTGCCCTTTTCACAAGGTTGTCACACTGTCAGAGTTTTATAACCAGGCACTGAATTGCAAGGCTGATTTCTGAGCAGCCAACATGTGCCGGAAGATGTTTTCAAATGAGGAATCACCTGCAACTCCATGCCACTGAGACACGTCAGAGATAGTATCAGAAATCTTCACCCTGTGCCAGGCCCTGAGTCTGGGCATGCACATATATTTTCTTGTTTAATTATCGAAAACTAGAGGCCTGGTACACGAACTCGTGCATGGGTGGGGTCCGGCCAGCCCACCCCGAATCGGGGCTGCATGGGGGAGGGGCTGCAGGCAGTTGGCAGGCCGGCCCCACCCCCCGATTGATCGATTGATCGGGGTGAAGGGGGCTGATCGGAGGCAGGGCCGCTGGTGGTTGGTGGGCCCACCCCTCCCCCTGGTCGAACTTCCAGTAGAACTCCTGGTTGAGGGGACAATTTGCATATTAGCTTTTATTATATAGGATGCCCAATGAGATTGGTATTCTGGTTGCAGTTCCAGATAAAAAAAATGGAGGCCCAGGATTTTTGTTTGATTTGAAAGCCCTGCTCTGAATTATGATGGCCCACCAGTTACACTTACACACACACACACACACACACACACACACACACACACTACTACCAATAACAACAACAAACACTAGCAGTGTTCAAACCCACAGGGATCCAAAGACCTTCACCGTGAGGGTGTTGAAGCCTCGCTCTCCAGAACCAGAGGGCCTTCCCCCCACCCACGCGGCACTACAGGAATGGCTCATCTGCCAGGGGCCTTTCCCGGAGCCTGACCAGGTGGCTATTTCGAATTGAATGTCAAAATACGCAGACAGAGGTTTCTCTTGGGGCTGCCTTTCCTTTGTCTCCCCGTCCACCCCCACCCTCTCTGTGCCTTGTACTTGTTAACAGTGCGGGCTTACCCAGCACTTTTTATTTTTAGGATCTCAAAAGGTTGGAACAAGACATTTTTATTATTTCCACGTGCTCATGACGGGGGAAATCAAAATCACAACGACTCTTATGATCATGACGACTTGGATGGTTTTGCAGCAAACAATTCAAAATAGCAGCAGCCTTGGCTGGCGGGTGGTGTGCCTGGCTGGGCGGTGAGGATGGCTGCGGGCTAGATGGGCTGACCTGCCCCCAGGACTGGGGGCGGGGATGGGGGGGTGGGGAGGTGGGGGGTTGAACTGTGTGAAAACAGTTCCTTCCTGCCTTTGCTCTGAGGAGGACGCTGGGGACCGGCAAGGCCCACAGCTGGGCTGCCTCAGCTGATGCTCACGGGCGTTAGCCATTTTAATCATTTCAAATTCATTTCAAACACTAGGAATCGCCGTTTGCCACTGCCTCTGTTGTTTTTTTCCTTTTCTTTTTCCACAGACATATTAATATGGATGTGGCTAGCAGGTTCCAGGCTTTGAATGGTGCTCATTAAGTCACAGCTGGCTGGGAATACTTGTCAGTCTATGCCTTTATTTCGCAAGCCGGTTTCATTGGGAAATTAAAATGGGCTCCTCCGGGCAGCCCCTTGCCTGCAAGCGAAGCAGCCTTCCCCTCGGGGAGGGGAGCCTGTGTTCCCGTTCGCTCTCTTCTCAGAAGAAACACACATATAATTCCAGGAATGAAGACATTGAGTTTGGTGATCACCCTCACAAAAAGAAAGCCCTTGAACTAACCCTGGTGGGGGAACATTCCATCCAGCGGTTCCTGCAGGGGTTTTCTGCACCCACCCGCACCCCCTATCCATTGAGGGAACAGCCCGCCTGCTTGGGGATGTCCCCTTGTCACTCACCAGTTTCTGAGTGGAAGCGTGGCCGGCCCCGGGGCCCCGGCGTTGCACACTTGCCTCTGCTGAAGTGCATGGTTTGTTTTCCAAACTCGGCACTGTGTTTATTTTATTTTTTTAAAGAGCTAAGGAAAAGGCTGATTCATGATTACCCCAGAGGCATTCCTTCAGGCAGTGGTTCTCAACCTTGGCTGCCCATTAGAATCACCTGGGAATCTTGTTAAAATCCTGATTTCTGGGCCTCATCCTCCGGAAATTCTGTTTCTTTGTTATGGGGCGGGGCCACAACATTAGTAACAAAGAAACAGAATTTCCTGAGGATGAAGCCCAGAAATCAGGATTTTTAAAAAGATTCCCAGGGGATTCTAATGTGCAGCCAAGGTTGAGAACCACTGCCTGAAGGGATGCTAATACCCTCAAGACCAGCCCTCCCCCTGGGAGGGGTCAAGACAGGAAAACCTCTTTGGCTTCAGTAAAACGAGCTCAGTCAAATAAATCCCCTGGGAAGCAAGCTGTTAACAAAGGGACTCCCAGGCCCACCCGGGGTCTGCGGGAACAGAACCCGGCCGGCAGGGGCCGACAATGGGCCTTTTCACAGCTGCCCGGGGGGTCATTTGCATCCCAAGTTTGGGAGCCAGTGAGAGGGGGACACCCACTCATTGTCTGGGGGAGGGGGAGGGGAGGGAGGGCGAGGGTTAGGGTGTAACCCTGAGTCACTCTGCACTGGTGAGCCTGCCCTTTGATTGGACGCAGCTGAGCTCCCCTGGCAGCCTGGTGCTTCATTGGGAAATGACAAATTAGAAAATGATGTGCAATTAAGCCCTCCGCGAGGCAGCTCATCGGCTCACCCCCTCCTGTGCCTCAGAGTCCGGCTGTGTCCCTGGGTCATCGAGAATGTCCCCGGGACTCCCGCGTCCTGCGGGCTGACGGGTGACAGAGCAGAAGCCCTCAGAGCTGCTGCCTGCCAACCCGGAAGCCTGCGGCCGCCCCCGGCTGGGCTCAGACTCCCCGACGCTGCCGACGGGAAGCCGGCACGTCCACAGATGTGTTTGTAGTGGTTTCCAAAAGTCAGCCCAGCCCAGCCCAGCCCGAGTCTGGATCTGGCTGGCGGATTAAACATACAGAGTCCTGGGCCCCAGCCCAGAGTCACTGGTGGAGTGCCTTGGAGGCTGAGCCCTGCCATCTGTATTCATAGCAGCGCCCCCACTCACCCCCCCCCTCCCCACCCCGCCGCCCCTCCCGGGTAACAGACAGCACTGCTTGCGGGATCAGGAGGTGATTAGAAAGGAGCCCACAGAGAAGTCGATGTGAAGAGCAGAAAGGAGCCATCGCGTGGCGGGCGCTGGGAGAGCCTGCAGCCCGCAGCCACCAGATGTCCTAACGAGGGACCACATCACGAGACGGAGAAGAAAGGCGTCCCTTCGAAGGAGGCTGTGGGGGCCCACATTTGTTTTGCTCCCATTTCACGCCAGGAGCTTCGGGAAAGAGGGGAGGGTGGGACGGAGAAGACTGGGGTTGCACAAGCTGCTGGCTCTGCTGAGGGTTTTTCTCTTTCTTTTTTTTAAAGGGATATTTCCAGTGTGTGCTGTAAAAGATGCTGGGGGGGCGGGGGGGAGAAAGAAAAAGCCCTGATTTGTAACGTTTGATGATTTCCCTCAAGTGAATATTCCTTCCATGGTCCAATTTCAAGCCACCCATGTGATGCCACTGAGCGTGAGGTTCGGGGGAGAGGCCCGATCTGTGCTCCAGCCACCTCGGGACAGTCCCTAATTCAAAGGACGTCCTCCAGCATGATCTGCAGCCACAGCACCAACTGGCCACCCTGGTATCCCCGTGGGACAGGGACAGGCAGGGGAATGAAGGAGTCTTCAACCTGGATGCCTGCTCCTGGGGTTGGCTGACAGACAGTGGTATGAGAGTCTAAGGTGCACACTAGCCCTAACCCTACACTCAGTGATGCCACACTGCTGGCCTGAAACCAGCCACAGTCAGAGTATTGACAACATGGTAACTGGCAAACCTGTAAATCAGGCCATTGTCCCTGGAGAGCTGGCTGCACAGATCTATCACCACATCACCGCTGGCCAGTCATCCCACTGAGAGGCCGGGTCCTAACCACCTGTCTTAGTTCAGCTCCGGCTGCCCTGACAAAATCCCACAGACCGGGTGGCTGAGGCAACAGAAATGGATTTTCTCACCGTTCTGGAGACTGGAAGCCCAAGATCAGAGCGTGGGCAGGGTTGGTTTCTCAGTGGCCTGGTCCTTGGCTTGCAGATGGCCTTCCTCCCACCGAGTCCTCACCTGGCCTTGACTGTGTGTGCGCCACACGGGTGTCTCTCCCAGGCTTTTAAGGACGAAAGTCCTATTGAAGTATGACCTCGTTTGACCTGAATTCCCTCGTTAAAGGCCCAGTGTCCAATTCGCACAGGGGGTTAGGACTTCAACGTAGGGATTTTGAAGGAGACACAAACCGTGTCACAGCTCCATGTTCCAGGCAGTGTTTCGGTGACATCATCATATGTCTGTTCAAATAGGTTGCCGTCCCTGTCTTGACCAACTCACAGCTCACATGTCCATGTATGTCCAGGGCAGTGTAGGTGTGGGCATTTCAAGCCCTCTGCCACGGTGGAGCAAGGGAAGGGCTTATAATTCTGGGGAATGAAGGAGTCTTCAACCTGGCAACTGTGAGCCACACAGCCAGCGGTTAGGAAACAGTTGTCTTTCCCCAGGAGCCCCGGGGAGACGTGGTGTCAGAGCCTGGGTGTCAACGCCTGCATCACTTACAACTTCGTGCAGCAGAGCAGAGGAGCCAGGGCCTGCTCCGAATGCCCTGTTGTCCGGTATAGGTGCCGGTTGCCTTGTGAAAACCCACCAGGCTGTACACCGAGGTGTCACTATTCTATGTGGATGTTGCTCTTCAGTAAAATTTACATTCAGTAAAAGAAGGCCCTCCTGCCACTGTGGGATTTGCCCCTCCCCCCCCCCCCCCCCCCCCCCCCACGTCTGCCCGCCTGCATCTCCCCTTCCTTCTCCTCCCACTCCTCTCCTGGAGGCCACGGGTCCTGTTGGTTGGTGTCTAAGGCACAGGATGTGAGCTGTGGGGCTGCCCGGCCCCTGTCCCCTCAGGGTTCACTCCCCTGGGTCCCTCTCTCTGTCCATCATTTTTGAAATGAGAGAATTTCCTCCCTAAGAGAAATCCTTGTGCCAGCTTCTGGGAATACAATGTTCCTCCCGCTGGAAGCGATGGGAGGGCTCACAGGGGAGCAGGCAGCCCGCAGAGGTGGGTGGTGGTGGCGCCTGGAGCCACAGGGCCAGCACAGTGCGTTTTCTGCGTCTGGGACTTGCGCCCTGGGCAGCCGTGGAGACGTCACTGCTCTGTTCTCACCTGTGAAAAAGCCACAATGTTGGCACCTACATCAAAGGGTCAGCAGGGAAGACTCAAGGCACAAACGCAGGACCAGCACCTAGAATGTTGTCTGGGATATGCAGCTACCATTACTGCCATAGGGGAGGAAGAATGTTCCTGCCACCCTTCTAGGGTCTTTGTCTGGTCGAATAATTGAATTAGCAGGAGAAACAAGTATAATTACATCCTGAGCTAAGGAGCGGGAGAGGGCCTGAGGGTCCGGAGAGGAGAAGGTAATTCATAGGGCGATTAGAAGAGCAGGTGTTGGTAATTAGACATGTGTCCTGCCACACATCTGGGTCATTCCAATGAAAATTATCTCTGGTGATAGGGCTCTTTCTGGGTCAGACCGCTCCCTAAATTCTCTTAAGCAGTTAAGGGGGGCGGGGGTAAGTTTTTCTTGAATCTGCTGGGTATGTATTTATTATTTTTGAATTTTCAATTGCAGTTTACACTCAGTATTATTCTGTATCAGTTTCAGATGTACAACACAGTGGTTAGAAAACCATGTCCCTTTCCAGAGTGGTCCCCCCACTACTTCAAGGACCCCTCTCACCCATTCCTGTTTATCTCGATATTATCGACTGTATTCCCTATGCTGTAATCTACATCTCTGTGACTATTCTGCAGCCACCAATTTGTGCTGCTTAATCCCTTCTCCTTTGTCACCCAGTCCCCCAACCCAGCTGCCAGTCTGTTCTCTGTGTCAGAGTGCAGTTTGTTTGTTTGTTTTGTTCATTAGATTCAACAAATAAGTGAAATCATATGGTATTTGTCTTTCACCAACTGGCTTATTTCACTTAGCCTCATATTCTCCAGATCCATCCATGCTGTCACAAAGGGTAAGATCTCCTCCTTTTTTTACAGCTACGTAGTATTCCACTGTATGAATGTACCACAGCTTTTTTATCCACTCATCTACTGATGGGCACTTGGGCTGCTTCTAAACCTTCGCTATTATAAATAATGCTACAGTGAACATAGGGGTGCATATATTCTTTCAAATTAGTGTTTCGGGGTTTTTTGCAGATATATTCCCAGAAGTAGAATCTCTGAGTCATAAGGCAAGCCCACTTTTAATTTTTTTAAGAACATCCACACTGTTTTCCGTAGTGGTTGCACCAGTCTGCATTCCCACCAACAGTGCATGAGGGTTCCCTTTACACCACATCCCCATACTTAAGACTGCAACATGAATCTGTTGTTTACTGATTTACTGATAATCGCCATTCTGACAGGTGGGAAGTGATATCTCATTGTGGTTTCGATTTGCATCTCTCGGATGATCAGTGATGTTGAGCAACTTTTCATATGTCTTTTGGCCACCTGTATGTCTTCCTTGGAGAAGTGTCTATAGTGTCTATTCAGACCTTCTGCCCACTTTCCAATTGAGTTGTTTGTTTTTCTGGTGTTGAGTTGTCTGAGTTCTTTATACATTTTGAATATTAACCCCTTATCAGATGTATCATTGACGAATATCTTCTCCCATTCAGGGGATTGTCCTTTTTTTTTGGTTGGTTTCCTTTGCTGTTCTGCCAGGTCCTGATTGCCTTTGGCTCATAATGATCCACGCACCAAAGTAGCACATTTCATCATGATGAAGACTGCTTTGAACCCTCGGCATACAGGATAGCTAAGGAAAAGCGCTCTGGCTTTGTGCGGTGTTGCTGTCATGCACCCTGGCCCTCTCCCCAGTTAAGACTGCAACATGAATCTAGGCAGGCGAGATGGAGCCACGGACAGATGCCATGCTGCA